GTTTCCTCCCGCATGTAAATAATGATGAATTGGCCGATAACATTTGAGCATATAGAGGATCGCAAAAACTTGGCTTTCAATTCATGTTCTCCAGTTGTTGTTATTCTTTGTTCCGATGTTTGTTTTGCTTTCGATATTACCGTGACCCAGGTCACTCCTGAAAATACAGCTCGACCCTGCTGTCGTGCGTTCTCACCTGGTTAAAACAAAATTAAAACAACAATGACGTGATTCATTAACAATAAATCCATTTGTAACGAAACCTGAAAAGTGTGCAGAAGAAGCATTGCGGGAGGAGACGCGTGCCGATAAATGACGTTGGGAGGAGACAGAAAGTGTAAAATAAGTGGATCAGGTTACGCTCTGAGAATTGTAGCTTGGGGCAGGACGCGTCAAGAACAGCGACGGAACGGCCGACGAGGAACAGGAGAGGAGATGGAGCGGTCAAATGGAGTGCCGTCGGTTATTGTGCGGGCGGATTGCTGCTGCTACATCGCGGAATCGAGATATGTGGTGGTGGTGGTGGGGGGAGCGGGTTGGTGGCCTTCATCCAGCAGTGGATTGACCATGGCTGGCTGACGTTTTTGATGATGGTGCTGATGAGGATGTTGATGATGGTGTTGATATTTGTTGATGATGGTGTTGATGACGGTGATGATTGTGTTGTTGTTGATGATGGCGTTGATGACGGTGTTGATGACGTTGTTGTTGGTGACGATCCTACGTTTACGGTGCCAGAGGCAGGCCTACGCTAGCGCCGCCGAGACCATCGACTCATTGCGAAAGAATTCGAGATTTTTTTTTCCGGGGGGCGGGCGGGGCTGAGCGGGGAGGAGTGGGGGGGGGACAAATCCCTTTCCTGTCAACCACCAGCAACCCACCACCACCACCACAAGCAACCAACCACGTCACGGCCGCGGAGCATACAGGCGGGGCTTACTGCCCATACAGTGCAGTGAGAAGCACCAACCATGCATTGACGTAAGGGGGCCCTGTGTTTAAAGAGTACTGGTGGTGGTGATGCCAATTACAATGCCTGTAGGCTGACTGCAAGCATCGGCCATCCTCAGACGCGCATCATCAGCCATCATCAACAACAACAAACCAACAACGGAGGGGCGGGATCGCTGTCCGGATCAGCACCACGCGCCGAGGTGCAATTAGCGGGGGTGGAGAGAGCAAGAGATCGGTATCCATCATCATCATCATCGAGAGAGCGAGACGTGGTGAGTGTGCGTGTGTGCGTGTGTGTTAGTGTAGCGGCTTGCGCTACGAACCCGGCCGCCCGAGTTCGATTCCCACTCACGACCACCAACACCCAGTAACAAGTATCAGCACCGGTCCTGGGCCTCCCCTAGATCGACTCGTCCTCGAACGAGGTAGCTGATGCGGTGTGTAGTAAACATCGCCACCGGGGGAGACAAAGGCGGCCGGGCGTGGTGCTGGCCACCCACCCCCTCGTGTGCCGTGTCGGCCTTCATAGGCGCTCGCCAACAGCCCTTGCCCCACCAGTCTGTTACAGGCTACACGGGGGGTCTTTGTCTTGGTGTTCGTCTCGCTGCGTGCACCCACCGTAAGTGAAGTTCAATTGCGCGTGACGTCACGCGCTGGCGATCTTTGTCTTTGCATGAACCACGAAGAGCCGAAGGTTCCTCGCCCGCTCGCAGCCCTCCGTGTAGCCTTCACAGACCGTGTCTGTGAGCGAGGAGCAATCTGCGAAGGCCGGAACGCAAACAGCACGGTGGTTGTTGTTGTTGGTGTCGCTGTGTCCAGCAACCCACCGCGCCAGCCGCCTTTGTCTCCCCAGCGTGCGACGTTTACACAGCAGGTGCTCGTTTGTGGCTGAGTCGACCTTGGGGCGGGCTTGTCTCAGGAAGCGGTTGAGATCATCGTCACTGCTGTAGGTTGGCCGTGAACGGGATTCGGAACTCGGGTCGCCGGCTTCGTCGCGCAGCGCGCTAACCGCTGTGCCACCGCTCCTCGTTAACGCTAACACGACATGCGTGATGCACGCATGTCGTGTGCGTGACGCACGCATGTCGTGTGAGCGCGGTGACGGGAGCGGGTAGCGCTTTGCTCCGCGGAGGATAGAGAATGGCTGGTATCAATGAGTATAATTATTGTTGCGTGTGTGTAGACGCATTGCATACAGAACGGCGTGCTGCCTGCCGGCTAGCAGTATGTGTCGCGTCTATGTATATGTCGACATATCAATCCACTGCTGGATGGTGGCTTCCAACGCCGTGGGTTACCCGAGCATACTTCACCACGGCTGATTAGTCAGTGCCAGGCTGGTAACATCGGGGGAGCATAGGACACAGGAGCTCGGTACGGTACAACAATCGTGGCTGCCGCGCTGCCCTTCTGCTGCCGGCTGTAGGAAGCCTGCAGCAGCAGCTTTGTTATTTTTCACGACGGTCGCCCATCCAAGCAGCGTCCAGGCGGGTTCTGCGTTGCGTGCGTGCGTTGATGATGGGGCGGACTGCGAGTTGAACTGTGAACCTGATGGACCGAGTGGTGATGTCACGGGGCCCACTGCGAGCCCACGTCTGCGGTAAAAACAAAAAAAACGATTCAGCAGGAATGTTTGGTTTAGCGAGGTTGCTACCGCCCGTGGTGTTAATGGTGGTGAGCACAGCGGACTGGCACATCCAGAGGTGAACGGGTTCGATGTGACCGGTTGGGCACCACAGCCTCCCTCCTGCTTCTGTCCGCGTGCGTTAATAGGAGCGCCAGTCAATGTTCTATTGGTAGGTCGTGCCCGTCGTGGGGTGAAGTCTGGGAACTCCCGCCTCTTCTTCCGAGACGACACGAACTAAACGTGCTATTTTACCAGGTTAAGCTCACTGGGCTATATGGCTATGTTTTTTTCAGAAGCGACCTGGCTATCACAAACGATAGTCCAACGAAGTGGCTTATCACTATCACTTGGAAATTTATAGCAGCCAAATACTCTTAAACGCGTGACGTTGATTCTAAATATGAGGGGGGTGGGGGGGGGGAACCGGAGGACCCGGCCACGCGACCACGGGGAGAGAGAGAGACACGCAAACTCCAAATATACAGCAGCAGGCGTCGTCAGGGTCGGGATCGAACCCACGACCTCCTGCATACCAGGTGATGTAGTTAACATCTCATAGCCACCCCGGCACCCCAGGAAGTGTGGCGAGTGTGCAAGCGGAGCCCAAAGTACTCTCTTGAGGGTTGCGCTTGCCCCTCTGCCCGCCCCCCATCAGTGCAGCAGGGTACTCAGGTCCGGTTCAGGGGTACCCAAGACCGTTTCAGATATCATGTGGTCCCACGGTGGCTAGGAGATGTTAACTACCGTGCTTGGTATGCAGGAGGTCGTGGGTTCGATCCCGACCCTGACGCCTGCTGCTGCTGTATATTTGGAGTTTGCATGGTCTCTCTCTCCCCTGAGCGATTATTTGTCATAGCCAGATCGCTTCTGAAAAAGAGCTGTATAGCTTAGTGGGGCCTTAACTTGTATCGCTCGCCACTGATGTTAGCCGTGGCCCCGAAGTCGGTGCAGGTCGTAGGGGTCATGACACAGTGCGCTAACCACTGCTCTGCCAGCTGTTGTTGGTATTTAACGTTATTATTTTGAATCTATGATGTAAAGCTCTTTGTCTGTTTTTTGGTGTCAAATTACCGGTTGCTTCTGGGCCACGTTTGCTTAAATGCATCCATTGGGGTCAGTGATTTGTTCTCCGCCGTGCTTATTTCTGCACCGTGTATTAGTTTCGCGTCAAACTCGAACCCGCGTCTAACAGTTTTTTCAGTTTCTTTATTTTGGTATAGCCCTGTGAGCCATTCGGCTCTTGAATCGGGTGCAACCACAACAAGCAAAAAAACAAAAACACGAACAAGAAAACATCTTAAAGTGAGAGGAGGGCTCCTTGCCCTTAAACCATCTGGGCAGTTCACCAGCTTTGGTGTCCAGTGAGCCCGATGCTGATGATGAGGCGCTGAATGTGGACAAAATCTGCCCATTTTTGCTCGTTTGCAAACCCAACGCTGCTGTAATTACAACACTCCTAGAGAAGGTCGTGCGCAGGTGATGATTTGTGTAATTTTATAGTCTTTGGTTCTTCGGGAAAGTCATGCAGATCGAAAAATAATAATAATAAAAAGTTTTAAGTCAAAATGTGTAATTTAAATTTTATTTTATTTATTACTGTGGCCACGAGGGTTTCTGTTGTTGTGGTAGATGGTTGGAACTTTCAGTCGCGTACAATTCCAGTTTTTGGGCAAGACAATACAACAACCATTGAACGTCATCATGACAACGGCTTTGTCGTGTTCACAGTATTCGCTTGTTGTTGTTGTTGTTCACCTTTTGCTGTTTCCGTTGTTGTCTGTGACCCTGAAGACGCCGAGCCTCTGGCAGGTCACCCCCAAACCCTCTCCTGCTCTCATCGCCGCTGCCACTTGCAGTCATTGACAGCTCAGAGGCAAGAGGAACCGATTGGGGCCAAGGGAATAGTAGCGTTGAATAGGAAGGTTAGTTCAGAGTGAGAGGAGGTCTATCACAGGCACCCATAGGGAGTCAAAGAGCCAAGGGGTACACCCATCATTACACCCCCTCTGTTATACCCTCTGGCCCCCACAGATCTTATTAATTCTTTCTTTCCCGCCAAAAATATCGCATCCAGTCCTCTGCTAATCCCCTTCTCGGCCACGTTTCCCCACCTCCTTTATTTAATTAATTTTGAGTGCGTCTCCGTGTCCTCGCCTAACCCCAAACGCGTCCAACAACACGACCCTTGTGATAATTACCCGAGCTATCAGTGATCGCCAATTGAGAAATCGGGATCCCACGTTTAACACTGCTGTTGAATGATTCGTACCCAGTAAATAGCATTGCACAAGGAGAATCATAGTACTCAGCGATTCTGTGTTCAGTGATTAGCGTTGAACAAGAACGAGCGAGTCGCAAACACGGACGCTCGTCCACAGCTACTAGCGCTACAGGAGCTAGTAGCTGTGCTGAGTAATTAGTAGCAGGTGGATCGCGCCGAACTGTCGAGCGATTGGTACTCCAGCGCCGCGCCGCGTCAACCCGGCGGCGGTGGGGGACCGCGAGAGCAACGGCCGACACAAACGCCTCCTTCTGCGCGGGGCCGCCGCTCGGCGCCAAGCTGGAGCCCCAACAACAACCCCCAGCGGCGGCGGCGGAAGTGTCGAGGGGGGAGGAGGAGGGAGGAGGCAGCGGCGGCCCTCCCAAGCCGGCCCCGACGGAGCTGCCCCCGCCGGAGCCGGCTCAGACCCTGGTGTTCGTGGATGCCGAGACGACGGGGCTGCCTGAGAGCCGGCCCCGCGCCACTGAGCTCTGCTTCATCGCCGTGGACCGCCGCGGCCTGAGCGTCGCGACGAGGACCGACGAGGGCGTGCCGCTGCCCCCGCGCGTCCACGACAAGCTCACAGTGAGGCGACTTCCACCTTCATCCCCCCCCTCCCCCCCGAGCGAGCTGAAATCACAACAGTCTGGCGACACGGTGTCGGTGCCATGACTGGCGCCGTCACCCGTCACCACCATTGTCACCGGCACCAACACCCGGGGCTCCCGACCGAACTCGTTTGCCCGCGTGTCTGGCGGCATCGGGCCTTGCGGCGGAAACATTTTTGGTCAGATCACATACAGTGAGGGAAAAAAGTATTTGATCCCCTGCTGATTTTGGACGTTTGCCCACTGACAAAGAAATGGTCAGTCTATAACTTTAATGGTAGGTTTATTTGAACATTGAGAGACAGAATAACAACAAAATCCAGAAAAACGCATGTCAAAAATGTTATAAAATTATTTGCATTTTAATGAGGGAAATAAGTATTTGACCCCTCTGCAAAAGTACTTGGTGGCAAAAATCCTTGTTGGCAATCACAGAGGTCAGACGTTTCTTGTAGTTGGCCACCAGGTTTGCACACAGCTCAGGAGGGATTTTGTCCCACTCCTCTTTGCAGATCTTCTCCAAGTCATTAAGGTTTCGAGGCTGACGTTTGGCAACTCGAACCTTCAGCTCCCTCCACAGATTTGTTTATGGGATTAAGGTCTGGAGACTGGCTAGGCCATTCCAGGACCTTAATGTGCTTCTTCTTGAGCCACTCCTTTGTTGCCTTGGCCGTGTGTTTTGGGTCATTATCATGCTGGAATACCCATCCACGACCCATTTTCAATGCCCTGGCTGAGGGAAGGAGGTTCTCACCCAAGATTTGACGGTACATGGCCCCGTCTATCGTCCCTTTGATGTGGTGAAGTTGTCCTGTCCCCTTAGCAGAAAAACACCCCCAAAGCATAATGTTTCCACCTCCATGTTTGACGGTGGGGATGGTGTTCTTGGGGTCATAGGCAGCATTCCTCCTTCTCCAAACACGGCGAGTTGAGTTGATGCTAAAGAGCTCCATTTTGGTCTCATCTGACCACAACACTTTCACCCAATTGTCCTCTGAATCATTCAGATGTTCATTGGCAAACTTCAGATGGGCATGTATATGTGCTTTCTTAAGCAGGGGGACCTTGCGGGCGCTGCAGGATTCCAGTCCTTCACGGCGTAGTGTGTTACCAATTGTTTTCTTGGTGACTATGGTCCCAGCTGCCTTGAGATAATTGACAAGATCCTCCCATGTAGTTCTGGGCTAATTCCTCACCGTTCTTATGATCATTGCAACTCCATGAGGTGAGATCTTGCATGGAGCCCCAGGCCTAGGGAGATTGACAGTTCTTTTGTGTATCTTACATTTGCGAATAATCGCACTAACTGTTGTCACCTTCTCACCAAGCTGGTTGGCAATGGTCTTGTCGCCCATTCCAGCCTTGTGTAGGTCTACAATCTTGTCCCTGACTTCCTTGGAGAGCTCTTTGGTCTTGGCCATGGTGGAGAGTTTGGAATCTGATTGATTGATTGCTTCTGTGGACAGGTGTCTTTTATACAGGTAACAAGCTGAGATCAGGAGCACTCCTTTTAAGAGTGTGCTCCTAATCTCAGCTCGTTACCTGTATAAAATACACCTGGGAGCCAGAAATCTTTCTGATTGAGAGGGGGTCAAATACTTATTTCCCTCATTAAAATTCAAATCAATTTATAACATTTTTGACATGCGTTTTTCTGGATTTTTTTGTTGTTATTCTGTCTCTCACTGTTCAAATAAACCTACCATTAAAATTATAGACTGATCATTTCTTTGTCAGTGGGCAAACGTACAAAATCAGCAGGGGATCAAATACTTTTTTCCCTCACTGTACATGATTGTACGTGCGTACGTACGTATGTTGAACTTTGTACGGTGCTCGCACCGCTACACGCTATTCGACGTCCGAAGTTTCGCTCCACCACGTGCTAGGAGCTTCTTCGGGAATCACAAACACCACCGCGTCGGGGGGGGGGGGGAGTTCCGCGGCCGTGCCTCTCGTAACCCTCATGCGGTTTTCCGGACGTGTGACGTTTTTGCCCCGGCAGTTTTGCATGGAGCCCAACAAGGTGGTGGATGCGGAAGCCGGGAGACTCACCGGACTGACCAACGACATCCTGGCGCAGAACCGGCGACGCCCGTTCGACGCTCGCGCGGCACGGCTCGTCCTCGACTTCCTGGCCCGGCAGGCGCCCCCCGTGTGCCTTGTGGCGCACAACGGCATCCAGTTTGACTTCCCGCTGCTCAAGGTGCGGCTGCCACCGGCCGTCACTAATGCCGTCACCAACACCGTCATCATCGCCAATGTCGACACCGACGTCGTCACCAACATCGACACCGTCACCATAACGGTCACCAACACCGACACCATCACCAGCACCTTCACCAGCACCGTCACCATGGCCAACATCGACACCGTCACCAGCGCTTTCACCGTCAACACTATCACCAAAGTTACCACGGTTACCACAACCGACACAAACGCCGTCACTAACGCCGTAACCATTACTCCACGCCGTTGTGCGCCAGGATGAGCTGTCGAGCGTGGGGGAGACGCTGCCGCCCGGCACGCTGTGCGCCGACACGCTTCCGGCCATGCGCCAGATCATGGCTCACAACTCCCCGTGGCCGACCCCCGAGTTGGCGCAGCCGCCCCCCGGCGAGCACAGCCGCAAGCGCAAGCTTCTGGCCCGGGGTCGTGGCCGGGGTCGCGGCCGGGGCTACGCGAATGACTACGGCTACGAGGACCCCAACTCGCACAGGAAGGTGAGCCGGTCGGGCCGCGGGTCTGAGCCGGTGCGGCCGCGGCTCTGGCGTCACTTTCGCGTCTCCATTTCCGGATTTCCAGCTCCGCATTTCCGGCTCCGAGATTCCTGCTCCGCATTTCCGGCTCCGAGATTCCTGCTCCGCATTTCCGTACCCATTGGTCAACTCAAGTCGGGCCCCGCTATTCATCTCATCAGGCTAGGGCCCCGAACATTCCGGGCCAGTCTCACTTCACGGGGTCACGCGAGTTCCCATACATCAGAACTTCCCTCCGCTGCCACCACATGTGCAAGCGCACACACGCACGGGCACGCACGTGAGTCCCCTTGCGTCACGACGTGCCGGCCGTTTAAACATTTCCACCCCGTGTTGTCTCTCCCGCCCTCTCTCTCTGCTCCCCACCACACCGCCGCCGTCGCCGCAGGTGGCGTTCGGCAAAAAGAACAAATTCCGTCTGGGCGACATCTACGTGCAGTTCTTTGGCCATGAGCCGCCGGTGGGCTTGCACAACGCGGAGACCGACACGATGGCGCTGCTGTCGATAGCACAGCACTGCGCGCCGCAGCTCCTCGCCTGGATGGACCTGAACGCTCGTCCCATCGCCGACGTACAGCCCCTATACCAGCCGGCGCCCCCCAAGGACGGCACCAAGAAGGAGGAGGGTGAGGAGGACGACGACGTCATCGTCCTCCTGTGAGCCGTGTCTGTGGGGCCGCCCTCTGTCGCTCCACCTTCGCCGTTTCGGCGGAGTTATTTTTTCATTGCTGTGTACATCTACCCTCATCCGCCAGTGGATCGGAGTGGGGAAAAAAGGTCTCTGCGCATGTAACGGAGCTTCTCACGGTTACGTGCACCCACCTTTGCCGAGCTGCGCTTGACCGGAGTGGTGAGGTACGGTAAAACAAAAAAACAGCCCACGACCGTACATGGCGTGGGGGAGGCCCTCATCCAGCAGTGGATTGACAAAAACGGTGGCACGTGGTTTTTGTGCAGTTCAGAGGCCACGAGGGTGGTTAGTCATCGTCACCATCATCAGCTATGATCAGTCCACTGCTGGTTGAAGGCCTCCCCAAGCCGTCTCCATCTCTCACACGAGTGCGATGGCTGTTCTTCGATTGCTTGATAATTGTTTGCGGAATCGAGCGACTCAAATCATCGGAAAGCCCCGATTATAATCACAGCCACAGGCTCGGTGGCTCAGTGGCAGTGCGAGCGGCTCGCAGCCCGAAGGTTAAAGTGAGTACCACTCTGGGGAAGTTAACAGCGGTTGTCCTGTGGAGGGACTAACCCCCCTCTATAGGAATGTGGAATTTCCACCGCTCACTTCGCAGAGCTGTAAACACGATGAGATGAGCACCAATGCCTCGATGCTCATTGGAGCAGGAGATCACTCTGAAACCATCACCACGGTCCTCCTTCTCAGCCAAAACGTCCCACTTACTGCTGGTTCGTCAACAACATTGCCTTAAAAATATATATAACAGGCGACGTTTCATAGCACATTACTGTTGGGGTCAGCTGCTCGGATTTGCTTTCTCCACGTGCTTGTATTACATGGCCCTTGTCCAGTTACATCCACTACTATTACCCTTGCATAGAGATCCATAGACTTACATAGAGACCCAAACACTTTCATAGAGTTATACAGAGATCCATAGACTTACATAGAGACCCAAACACTTTCATAGAGTTATACAGAGATCCATAGACTTACATAGAGACCCAAACACTTTCATAGAGTTATACAGAGATCCATAGACTTACATAGAGACCCAAACACTTTCATTATACAGAGATCCATAGACTTACATAGAGTCCCAACCACTTTCATAGTGTTATACAGAGATCCATAGACTTACATAGAGACCTAAACACTTAAGTAGACTTATACAGAGATCCACAGACTTACAGAGACTCAAACACCTAAATATAATTACATAGAGACACATAGACCACCATAGAGACCCAGAAACTTACACTTTATTGTAGGCAGTAGTTTCCTACAGTTTTTAAAAGTTTTGAAACTGCATATCACTTTAATAGCAAGCAGAACGGCTCTTGTTATGTATTTTAGAACTGTACTGTCAAATGAGTTGTTTTTTTACTAGACTCGTATTGTAGGTAAACATTATGTCGTTTACGATAATGGCATTCGTGCGTAGCGTCATATTTTAATAGCGGCGTTCACAACGCGTGTAATCGTCTACTGGTGTAACGATCGTGGTCTTAACTTGAATAGAAAACGCCTATTACCGTTTTTTCTGGATTACAAGATGCACCTTTTGTTGCGTCTTGTAATCCAGCAGGTGTGTGTGTGCGAGCGTGCGTGGCAAGTGCACTCTCCACATGCTAACCATAGTGGCGCCGCTCCCCGTGATCTCTGTGTGTGTGTGTGTACGAGCGTGCGTGGCAAGTGCACTCTCCACATGCTAACCACAGTGGCACCGCTCCCCGTGATCTGTGTGTGTGTGTGTACGAGCGTGCGTGGCAAGTGCACTCTCCACATGCTAACCATAGTGGCGCCGCTCCCCGTGATCTCTGTGTGTGTGTGTGTACGAGCGTGCGTGGCAAGTGCACTCTCCACATGCTAACCACAGTGGCACCGCTCCCCGTGATCTGTGTGTGTGTGTACGAGCGTGCGTGGCAAGTGCACTCTCCACATGCTAACCACAGTGGCACCGCTCCCCGTCAGCGGTGGCGCAGTGATCACCGCACTGCGCTGTGGACCCAGCGTCCCGATTTCGATTGCCGCTCACAACCAATAACAGTTGTGACTATTTTAACTGGTCCTGGGCCTCCCCGAGGTCGACTCGGCCTTGAATAAGTACCTGGTGCTGCGTGTAAGCATCAGCACTTGGTAGACAAAGGTGGCCGGACATGGTGCTAGCCACCCACCCCCTCGTGTGCCGTGCCGGCCTTCGTAGGTGCTATTCGCTACCAGCACTTGCCCCAAAAGGTCTATTAGGGATATCAGGGGGATTTTGTCTTGTGTGACCAGTGCATTCCCCATGTGCTGCTCTACGAACCTGGTGACCCGAGTTCGATTCCCAACTCACTACCAATAACAGTGGTGAATATTTAAACCAATCCTGGGCATCCCCTAGGACGACTCAGCCTTAAATGAGTACCTGGTGCGGTGTGTAAACATCAGCACTGGGGAGATAAAGCCGGCCGGGCGTGGTGTATTCGCCACACCACTTCATCGTGTGCTACAGTGCCGGCCTTCATAGGTGCTGCTGCTACTCGCGAACAGAACTTGCTCCAGCAACCTTTGAAGGCTACGCGGGGGATCTCTGTGTGACCAGAGTCGTACGCCTTTTTACTGACACCGGGCATGCATTCGGTGGTGCGTCTTACTTTCCGGAGCGTCTTATAATCCGGAGAATTCGGGTTATGCTTACGTTTCAGTTTTACCTTTCACAAGCACACTTTTACAAAATGCCTACAACGTAGCGCTATTTCGTTTTTTTTTTTAAGCAGCTTACACTCAAATATGGATTGTTTCAACGAAAATGGTGCTGAGCATATGTCGCATTATTCCATCAAGTAAGACAAAAATATTTTTTAAACAAGAGATTGATGATTTTTAAATCGGTACTATTTTTGACAGACCGATGTACACACACACACACACCCGTATATATGTAATGGATTTTTATCACAATGTAATTGTGATTTAGCCGTGCTTTTGCTGTCTAATTGTACGTGAGTTAAAAAAAAAACCCCATATGAGTCATGATGCTTAAAATGTTGCCCAAACGACACCCGGCTCCTACGTTGTAGCGACAGGCTGGATAACGAATAGGGTGCATACTCAGCATGTGTGTATGGTCTAAGTGGAGTTTGCTTTCCCTCGGATCGGTCCCTCCTCTGGAGTTTGTTGCTTCTGGTGTGAAATTCAACAGCTGAGAATCTCACTCTGCGCTGTTCACATTCAGCGGCTGCTCAGGATCCCCTCCTCGTCTTCTCTGCCTGCGTCTGTGCCTCTACCCCAGCGGTTCTCAGCCTCGGGGGGTACACGGACCCCTAGGAGTACACGTGGCAATTTCCCAGGGGGTTACGTGAGGTCATTTTCTAAACGTGCAAAATGATACCATACGTGAGGGTCACTGGTGTATATTCACCTTGTATGAATCTGTCAATATAAATTAACTGCGATAAAATGTAAATCCGTATGGTAACCTAGAACGGTATAAAAGACCTTTGTAAACTCCTTGATCGTAAATAATGTTGCTTTGCAAGAGTAGCCAGCGAGCACGATAAAATGACGTCATGCGTGCAGAGCGTCCGTTACCAGGTTGTTAGGGATACCTCACAAAATGGACAATTGGTCAAAATATTGATGTTTATTATTCATACATTTAATTTACAGAAGCACGGTGGGTCAGGCAAGGGAGGTACTCGGTTGAAACAAAATTCAACTGAGTGGGGGGTAGAGCAGCAGCCAACCAAGGTGAGAACCACTGCAGTATGCTCTGTGCATCGACTGCGATGCACGTCTGATTCTTCTTGTTCTATACTCCTCCACTGTCCCCCCCTTCTGTTGTAATGTGCACTGATGCCTACTTTATTGAGGGGGGGGGGGGGGAGGTGCGATATTGGCACTTAAAATTAAAAAAAAATCATTTGATCAATTCATTTAATTCTTGTCAAGTGCCCAGAAAATGCCTGAGATGTTCTCTCCAAACTCACGATGGCTTCAGTTTTAATGGGCGAATGGATGAAACCAGGAGGCCGTGACCTTGACGGGAACAAACTTTGAGTGGCGCACTCGAGTAGACCGGGCAAACGCGGAACGTCGTGAGTCAAGGTTGGCCCGGTGGTTCCAACCACACGCCAACGCCGTGGGCCAATAGCACGTTTATCTTGGGGAGCTGCAGTGCCAGAGGTTTCATTCAAGAACCCGATTTTTTTAAATCGCTTTTGCCGCCTAGCTTTTTGATCGTTGCTCTATATTGTTTGTTCGTCTCGTTCGTTTTGCAGTCTTATTCAATCCGTTAGCCTAAATATGTAACTTTAGCATGTCGACTCATTTCTTAAATATTGTCCGTGTAGCTGATAGCCTGCAGTACGCGGCACGTTACAAATTAGTTACATGACTGACTAGCAGTTACCACAACCAAAGTGAGAGCAAATATGGTGAATGTGGCGTGCCAGGTGTGAAAATATCTCTTCTGGGTCGCTAACACTGACAAGACCCGACCTGTTTACACGCATATGCAAGTATCATGAGCATAGGAATCCATTTCAATTGCCTGGCCGCTGTGTCGTCGTCTGCCTGCCTGCGCATCTCGTGGTGACCGAGAGGCCCCGGATGGAGGTCTGTGGTGCCATTCGCTCGCTCACCGCCGGTCAGTCATCTCATTCACAGAGGGGGTTTTTTGGTTAGATCGCGTAAATATGAATGTGTCATTAAACCCACCACCACCCGCCACAGCCAAATAGGTTTGTCACGTAAACAAAACATTCCAATTAGCTACTAGTTCACTCTTAAGGATTAATCGCCGTATACCTCTTTTATCGCTACCATGGTGACCGTTCCCATGAACTTCACTCAATTATTGCTCCACCTGCGTTGAGGACTCTGTTCTATAAGACTGACGGCTTCGTATCATCCACAGTGTGGTTAAACCACCACAATGCAGGTCAAAACAACACCCTCACACCTGCCCACTCACCAGACTGTAGGTCACAACACTTCCCCCACACTGCTCCACTCTGGAATACCTTCCCATCATCTCCAATCGCGAGTTCTTATCACCTTTAACCGTTCTAGAAACGTATTAACTCTTCCCTTTTATAACTCAAAGTGCCGTTTTTTTGCTGGAGTTTTTTTGGGCCTGTTCTCAGCAAATGTGATTTTTAAAAATATACACGCCGATCTATTCTTGATCCGTTCCCTATGATGGTGCGTGACTGGCCACTGTGGGCCAACTCTGGGAAGAAATGTATGAATTTGCTAAAATACGGCTCACGTCAGAACAGAGCTCCCAACATCCACTCGACTGTGACGAGGTGGCGGGGAGATCGTGGTAAAGCAAGCATTTGTGAAGCCATATGTGCGGAGCTTCGAGTGGCTCTCGGTCTTTTTGCACGGTGGGTTTCCTTTCCGGGGTTCCTCGCACGTGAAGGCAAACTCTCGTTACTTAACGGGATTGGTCAAACGTCCCAATGTGGCAAGACCCTCGTGACTCAAGTGAGGCTTCTATGTAAACAAATGAAGAGAATCAAGACATACATGAAATGATGACGTCGCTACAAATCAAAGCAAATTAATTCCTGCAGAGAGTAGGGAGTTGTAGTCTCACGTAACGGTTTTTGTTTTAAGCATCGTTTTAACAAGCTGCAGTAGAAGCACAAAGAATGAAGTGCATTATTAGTTGATGTAGCGTGCAGTAATGCTTGCCACTTGCCGTGTTACATGTGCAGTATTTTTAACGTGCTGTATTCCAATGTACTATACTTTTTAATTAACCTTTTTTTTCTCCGTATTACGAGAATAAATTTCACTAACGGATTCCACGCGTGCCCTTTCTTTTGTGTGAACGCTGGGTAAGGTCATCGAGTCAATGAGATTGTATATTGTAATGGTATATTGTATGAGATTATATATTGTATAATGAGATTGAATATTGAGATTGTATCTTTCCTCCACCTTATACGACTGCCGA